GGGGGGGGGGCTCGGCTTTGCGCAACATGTCACAATATTTTATATTTCTGTATCATGGAACTATGGGAAATGTTGATGTTCTGATCATTTATATGAGATCTTGGTTATCTGTGCTGTTCACTACACTTTGAAGATGAAGACTATTGTGTCTCCAGAATCTTTGGAAGCCAGCATATCCTAACCCATGGTAGTTACCTCAAATTGTAGTAAACAACACATTCATTCATTTATTTGCATTCTGTTAATCCATACAAGGTCAAACCAACCTATGGGATATAGAACCTGTCAAGATACAAATATAATATAAACATAAAATAATGATATATACATACATTCATAATGAGCACAATAAGGACATAAAGTAAAACACAGTATTGCATAACAGCAGTGTCACAAAACACATTTTGATCAAAGACACAAAGCAAAAACACAGTATTGCACAACAGTGTCACAAAACACAGTCTGAACAAATACACAAGATAATAGTGAAGACAATGAAACATGAATGAATTGAACTTACAGTGGGAAGACCTCCCACAACTAATCAAAATGTACAAAGGGCAAGAAATATAAAAAGAACCATATTCATTAGGAAGTTAATTGGTAATATTCATCAATACTATAGAATGCATGTTCTGTAAGGTAGGTTTTTAATGAAGATTTGAAATGCTTAATATCTTTAGATAGCATTTTAATATTTAATGGTAAGTGGTTATAAATCTTACTTCCAGAAAAGAGTACTCCTTTCTGTACAGATGATAGATTTGTAGAAGGCAAGTGTAAATTGTGGTTGTAACGAGTATTAATATCATGAATATCAGAATTAGATATAAAGCAACTTCTGTTCTTGATGACAAAGACAAGTAGTGAGAATATGTATTGAGACTGAAGTGGCAATATTTGTAATTTTTTAAATAATTCACGGCATGAGTCGTATCTACCTGATCTAGTAATAACTCTTATTATTCTTTTTTGAATTTTAAAAATACTGTCACTGAGATAAGAATTACCCCAGAAGATAATACCGTAAGACAGAATAGAGTGTGCATAGGAATAATAGATCGACTTCATTAAGTCTAAAGACATAAATGGTTTTATTGCCCTCATTGCATAACAAGCCTTATTTAGTCTTGATGACAGTTCAGTGATATGATCCTTCCATGACATTGTACTATCAATGTTTAATCCCACGAATTTAGTACAATTAATATTGGTAATCACTGAGTTATAAGATATTATTTGCATTTTTATTTCTTTATGTTTTTTAATAAGAATTGCAAGAAGTGTGATTTTTCACAATTCAGTGTTAAAAAGTTGCTATTGAACCAATTAATTATCTCATTCAAGACTGAACTGACATTACTTTTAAAGTCCTCAGGATTAGTGTTTGATATAATGATGCTGAAGTTTGATGCATGAAAGTTTGTTGCAATATATATTTTTGGTAGTTCTCTAAAAGTATCTGAAAGTATATGAAAGTAGATTTTGATTACGCTACAGTGAATATCATCTGTTTTCTGTGGTATATTTGATACACACATAATTTGGGAGTTCATTGTTCTGCTTCAACCTTCAGATGATCGTTTTCCACTGCAGTGACATACTTGTTATTGTTTATATGGTTGAGATTAGAGATTATATTTGGTGTCAAACCAGAAATTCTTTGAATAAGAAAACATGTACACTAACAAAAAGACACAACTGCAGCAAAAATTCTTAAATATTAGAGAATGATACAAATCATTCGAAGTTGGAAATCAAGCCAACTCCTGAAATATCATGATATATCAAATCTACCTCAGACCATGGACAGTGCTCAGTATGATTAAAGTAAAATGTATTTTATTGACTCTGTTATTGCACACACAGGAGGCTCCAGTAGCACAGGGCTGAGAGATCTTTACTGTGTGTTGGAGTGTGATAGAGTGCACAAAGCAAGAACAGTAGTAAGGACAGGAGACTTGGTGTTTGACTGGGATGAAACATTTGAATTGGACCTGGTTGATAACAGAGAGCTAGACTTGCTCATATACTCATGGGACCCACAGTACAGGCATAAGCTCTGTTACAAAGTAAGTTGATCAATTGCCACCAAATATTTCTTCATCATATAATTCACAAATTTTCTTCTTATATATGAGAAGCATTGACAAAAATGTTGCAGTTGCAAACTGAAAGGAGTTGTAGCAATTATAATACAGAATCTGAGTAGATAAATTAGAATTAGCCAGTAGACATCACATTCAGTAAGAATCACCTGTCATTGCTGTATATCATTTAATTTCCAGCACCACTTATGACCATGTGAATGCAATGAAACACTCCACTGAACATAATAAATAAATGGGTATGAAGAGAAAACTGAGCTTAATAAGTGCATGAAGAATTAAAGAGCAAAAATTAACTATTTTCTATTACTAATAAATACCATATATGGACTACCCAGACCTTCACAGAATATGCTTCATTTTATGGATAGTTTAAGTAGACTGTGGTGTATTTGCTGACCATTTTCATAAATCTGTGCATAAATAATGGACCCATTCTTATTGTTGATTTAGAAAAAATATTCTTGAATTATATGGCGAAATTTGTATTATTTCTTAGGCTAGACGTAGAGACATGGGCTCGATCCAGCATTTGAAATAAACTTAATAGAATTGCAAAGGAATTTTCAGTATCATATACTTGTATAAGTGTAATACTAATTGTCCCTCAACTGTATACTTTGTTCAGTTTTGAACGAAAATATTCTTCATTCTGGTCGGTAAATACGCTTGAAATCTCTGGCATATATTGTGCAATTTCCTTAGTTATCTACATGTCAAGACTTGTACAGCCAGCCACCAGTCTGTTATCTCTTATATACATTCACTACAGTGTTTAGAATTTAATTTATATATTCCACATTTATTTTATAGACTTTATAGATTTCCAGATTATGTTTCAGTGATGGTGTATATTTAAGTGAAGTTATTTTAATGTAATGATTTGTGATGTATAGCTCTTTGGAGGCAGCATATAAACAGTTAGGTAAGTTTAAAAGAGAAGAGCATTTAATTATTTATCTGTTCATTGTAAAACAGAGGAAATAGTGTTCATGATGAACACTTCCTGATGTTCCGCCTTATCAATTAAGAAAATTGGAAGTGGATAAGCTAATAGTTGTAAACAGTAATAGTAGAATGACAACTTAGATTTGTTATATGTAATATGTAATGATATGTAATGATTGTCATACCTACAGTGTTCATCTTTGTTCTGGTGACAGTTCAGAATAATCATGCTTTCTCATCAATGTATTATTGTGACTTATGGCTGATTTTACTTCATAATCCTTTGATCTGTAAGGTTTGTCATTGTCTTCCAGACCTTACAGAATGTAGATGCTTTGCTTCATCTTCCAAATAAAACTTACATTGTTTGGACCCTTTCCAAGGTTTCTTCACATGTTACAATCCCTAAAAATAATGCACTCTGTAACACAAATGACATTTTTCCAAATTGATAAGAAATTTAATAACCTTCCCTATTACTAAATTTCCATATTTCTTCACATATTCATGGTTGCTGCAATTACAAAAGGCTGACCTTGTTTTATTAATTGCATAACTGGAAGAACGCCTTTGTGGTCTAGTGGTCAGAGTTTCTGGCTACAGATCCAGAGGTTCTGAGTTCGATTCCCGGCGCTACCAGATTTTCTGAGAGGTAGCGAGTCTAGAACAGGGTCCACTCAGCCTTGTGAGAATAATTGAGGAGTTATTTCAAAAGAAATAGTGGCTCCGGTCTAGAAAACAGAGAATAATGGCCATGGGGATCATTGGGCTGATCACATGACACCCTCTATCCACAAAAGTTGGCACTAACTTCGCTGACAAGTGGCGGTAGCATGGGTAAGTATAGTTCACATGCAGACAACAGGCCACCGAGTTTTTTTTTATAACTGGAAAATCCAAAGGGCATACAATCTCAGAATTCCCATTCCCACATTACACACACAAGCTCTCTTGCACTCCCTCCTCCCTTAACACACAAAAATGTCTCTGTATGCTCTGTAATACAGTGTTATATATCTTACATTAAACATAATTTCATTTGAATACTTATTACAGTACTAGTTACAATTTTAAAATACATGATCATCCTATTTACTTTTATGCACACAATTTAATAAGTTATTTAGTACTGCTGAATTATTGATTTTATTTCCTGCAGGGCTCAGTTCACTTAGCTTCTCTTCTTCGAGAGTCACCTATCCATCAGCTGGCACTAAAGATTGAACCACGAGGTACATTATATCTACGATTGAGGCACACAGATCCTAATATAACCTTCCAGAGACGTGGCATAAAAGGACACCACCTGATAGGTATGTGTGTTCTATATTAATGCCATATTCCTTTTCTTTTCTTGTTTTGCCCATACATTCATAACCCATGCCCTTCAGACAAAAGTATACATATAAAACAATAAAAACTTTAAAGTTATATTTAAAATCATTGTCCTTCTGTATTACATCATTTTTTTTTTGTTCATGTAGTCATTGCTATCAAAATGTTGCAGGCCGTCCTGGAAGCAAATCTTTATCAGGAGCGACAGCTCTGTTTGGAGCTGACCTGGAAACAGTTGTAACAAGAGAGAGTCTTACAGGCGGTGTACCTGGAGGTGTGGCTACAAGCGTCACCTTGGCCACACAAGCCCCATCTGCTGTTCCCATAATTATTCGAAGATGTGTAGAAGAGGTAGAAAGGAGAGGACTTGACATTATAGGTAGGGTGAACAGAAATAAACACCAGCATTTGTTTATTCAGTACAACAGATTGCCATGTGGCTAGAATTCATCATTCAGCTACACCATCACTGAGTGAAAATATTTCAAGTTTGACACCTTTGTCCTCTCTGTAGATTGAAGTAATTTTTTGTGTATTGACTTGCATAATGAATGTTGTACTTATTTTTAGTATCAAATAAATATTTTTTAAATTTGCTATTTATTGATAGAATGTAAATTGCAGATGGCACAACACACAACCTCACTTCACAAGATGTTTCTTCTGAGTGGGACAAACTACAAATTTGAAATGAGTGATAAATAGTTCTAATTCATCTGTACTGAGCAGAAGAGTTCTGTACTAATGACAGTATAGTAATCTTTCAACCAGTCCAGAAAAAATTTTATCACTTCATGTGTTTGGATGCACATCACAGCTTGTACTGACTGCTCCTCTGCACTGTGTTATAGGTTTGTATCGATTATGTGGTTCAGCAACTAAGAAGAGGATACTGCGGGAAGCATTTGAACGAAATGCCCGCACAGTAGATCTTTCGCCAGACAATGTTCCAGATATTAATGTTATCACAGGTAAAAACAGAAAATGAATGTTCTAACTTGACAAGTTTCATTTATTACCAGCAACCCTCTTTTTCCTCAGTGAAGGTAATTTTCAAATGTGGCAATGTCGGTAGGACAGTCTGATATAGAGTGCTGAAATATTGTATGATAGTAGATCTTTGAAAAAAGCATGTTTCGCTATGGTAAGGTTGTGGGAGATGAAAGCAGCATGACCACATGAAATTTGAAATTTTGTTTTCCATTTTATAACTGATGTTCCATAGCACTAGACCTGCAAAATATAGTATAGTATAGTATAGTATAGTACAGTACTTACTTACTTACTCATGGAGCTGAGCCCTTCTGGGGGTGCTGCCAATTCTGCAGCTACTCAAGAATCTCCCAGCATTTTATGGAACCTGAAGGTTCTTTACCATGTTCACAAGAGCCCTCCACTGGTCCCTATCCTGAGCCAGATCAATCCAATCAATACCATCCCATCATATCTCTCTAAGATCCATTTTATTATTGTTCACCCACCTACACCTTGGTCTTCCCAGTGGTCTCTTTCCTTCTGGCTTTCCCACCAATAACCTATATGCATTCCTCATCTCCCCCATTCGTGCTACATGCCCTGCCCACCTCATCCCCCTAGACTTGATCATTCTAATTATACTTGGAGAAGAGTACAAGTTATGAAGCTCCTCATTTTACAGTTTTCTCCAACCTCCTGTCACTTCATCTCTCTTCGGTCCAAATATTCTCCTCAACACCCTATTCTCAAACACCCTCAGTCTATGTTCCTCCCTTTATGTCAGAGACCAAGTTTCAAACCCATACAGAACCACAGGCAAAATTATAGTTTTTTATATTCTAATTTTTCTGTTTTTTGACAGCAGATGAGAAGACAAAAGGTTCTGGACTGAATGGTAGCAAGCATTACCAGAGTTCAATCTCCTCTTAATTTCCTCCTGAATCAGGTTTCGATCTGTTATTGTTGTTCCCAAATATCTGAATTGTGCCACATTTTCAAAACATCTGTTTCCTATCTTTATGTCATGATTTTGCCCTGCATTCTAGTGATGAGACAGTAACATATACTTAGTTTTCTCTCTGTTTACTTCTAGACCGACCTCTTTACTTGCATCAGTTAAAGTTTGTGTGTTTTTCTTTATGGTATCTACATTATCACCTAGTAGATTCACATCATCGGCGTAGAACAACAGCTGATGTGTCCCACTTAATTTCGGTCCCACCTGGTTTCCCTGGATCTTTCTAATTGCATATTCTTAGGCAAAGTTGAAAAGGAGTAGCGATAAAGCATCTCCTTGTTTTAGACTATTCTGGATAGGAAATTTATCAGACAAATGTTTTCCTACACGGACTTTACTATACATTTCATTTAAACACATTTTAATCAACCTAACTAGTTGCATAGGTACCCCAAACTCTATTAGAATATTGTACAATACTTCCCTCCTAACTGAATTGTATGTTTTCTTGAAGTCTATGAAGAGCTGATGTACTGTCTCATCATACTCCCATTTTTTCTGCAATATCTGATGAATGCAAAAGATCTGATCTATAGTTGATCTGTCATGTCAAAACCCACACTGATGATCCCCAATAATTTCATCTATATATGGACTTAACCTTGAGAGAGGAATATTGCATAAAATTTTGTATGAAGTTGATAGCAGTGATATCCATCGATAATTACTACAGTCAATTTTGTCACCTTTCTTGTTAACTGGTACAATAATTATTGTACCAGTTAAGGAAGGAGTCTATTATAATAGACTCCTTCCACTGAGCAGGCAATTTTTCCTTATGTCAAATAGAAGCAATTGGATTGTGAATCTTAGAATGTAATATTTCACCTCCTGCTTGAATAGGTTCTGCTGGAATTTGATCACTACCTGGTGATTTATACCGTTTCAATTTTGCAATAGCACTTTCAATCTCAAAAGGGTACTAACAGTTCAGCTGTATGGATTTCTGTCTGCCTAACATCACTGACCCTATGTACATTCAATAACTGAGAGAAGTAGTTCCTCCACCTATTCAAAATGTTGTGGGAATCTGCAAGCAGATCACCATTCTCATCCTTCACTAAGTTACTGCTAGGCTGGTAACCCCTCTTAAAGTCATTTATTCCTCTATACAGGTCTGTAATTTTCTTGTTTTTACTGTTCATTTCAACTTCATCAATTTTGTCTTCCAGATATTCCCTCTTTTTGTTCCTGAAATGCCTGCTGGTTTCACGTCTTATCTTGTTCAGATTATACCCATTTAACTCGTTTGGATCCTGTAACCATTGCAATTTGGCCTGCTTTCTTTGCTCTGATAAGTTTGAGCATCCTTCATTGAACCATGGCTTATGCTTCTTCAGTTCATAATAACCTAGACTCTCTTTGGCAGATATTTATATTCTCTCTAATAGTTTCCCAAGCTTTATTAAAATCCACCTCAGTTTCCAAGTTTTCCAAAGCCGCAAACCTATTTGAGATATCAACACAATACTGCTCTTAACCCTCTACCTCATTTAATTTCTTGAGATTGAACCTCTCCATATGACCCCTGTGTGTTGTTTGTTATTCACTGCCAGTCTTTTCCTAACCTTTGCCACCACCAGGTAGTGTCAGTATCACAATCTGCTGCCCTGAATGATCAGACATCAAGTATATTTGAGTGCCGCCTCCTATCTATCAAAATATGGTCTATTTGATTGTGTATCTTCCCATCAGATGTCCAAGTAAATTTATGGACGTTATGATGTGGGAACATTGTACTTTTGACAGTAAGATTTTTTTGATGTGGCAAAGTTTGCTACTCTAAATCCATTACCATTACTAATTTTATGCAAACTCTCATTTCTGCATGTGTCGATATGACCTTCTGAGGATGGTCACTCTGACCAAAACATGTCAAGAATGAAAGATTAAAAACAAGCAAAAACATATGTCAGTCACACTGGATGGAGCTGATAATCTTTTATACTATTGCTAGTGTGATAGACCAGGATGAACCAAATCAAATTCCAAGTTCTTGTTATTTGTATTCCCTTGTTGTATTTTCTGCCTGTCACTCGCCGCTCACATGAAAGTCGCCAGTAGTCACCATCATTACACCACCCATCACTCTCAGGCTCTCCATAAAACCCTGTAGGAAATTCCAAAGTAATAAACATGGCTGCCCAAGTCACAAGGTTAGCAGTCCACCATGCAGTGGTAGTCCCATCGCAGGCATATCCTGGTGCTGACCAGCGATCGATGTAGACTGCTCCTGGCACCTTCTGTAACAGAGCCCATATGGACAACTGGCTGGGGGCAGGCAAATTTGATGAGAGTAGCATCACTATGATGCAATGTTCAAGGATTGATGCTGATGCTATGACAGTAGCATTGCTGTGACACGACATACAAAGATTGATGTTGATGATGACCCCCAAGGGGGGGGGGGTTCAGAACATCAACAAAGACATGTTCAGGCAAAGCGTAAAAGTTAAGAAAGACAAAGATAAGCCTACAGCTAGAAAATAATATAATAACCACTTAATATACTCACACAATTCTTACACATATATATAACAAAATTAAGATATATGAAATAGACCATGGAAACAATTACCCAGCCAGAAAATAAGGCTTCAGTTGAGAGACACTTGCCTTTCTTAAGATGGCTCCAGTCTTAGGGTTGGCCAGATAGTTTGTAACTATCGATACAAACCTAACAATAATTAGGGGTATAGGACACTTAAGGTTAGCTTGGAGGAGCATTGCCATAACTTGGAACTCATCAGGTGTAACCTAACCAAGACAAAGTAGCCACCTCCAAACAGGAATTGGAATTTAGTTCAGTTATTGGTAGAAGTCAGCCACGGGAAGTTTGTAGTTGAAGAAGAATTAGAAGTTGGCCTGTGAAGACTTAATGTGTGATAAGGAGTTGTAGTCACTGTGAGACTGTTTTAATTCTGTTACCAGGAGACGACTAGTGAAAACTAAGAATCCTTATGCATGCGCAATGGTGAACTGTTAATTGTGTAAATCAGCTATAGTGCTGTAGTGATTGTAATTAAGAAAGATTGTGACCAAAGGCCCAATAAATCCAATCATCTGACCCAGAACCTGTTATTTTCATTACACGTGCCCCCAAGTGACAATATGTAATACATGCTCCTAGAGTCTGCAGATGGTAAGAAAACTTATTAATTAAATAGTCAATGAAACATATGATTTATATTGTCAATCTCTAAATGGCTATAAATTAATCTTTCTAGTCCATAAATATATCATCACATTCATGGCAGTAAATCTTATAATATAAGGATATGTTGATTGTTCAGGTGTGTTGAAGGACTACCTCCGTGAGCTTCCCGAGCCACTCTTCACCAAGTGTCTATACCAAATGATGGTTGATGCCCTCAGTGTCTGCTTGCCAGATGATCCAGAAGGAAATGCCAAGTTGATGTTTTCAATATTAGACTGTCTACCAAAAGTTAACAGAGTAAGCATCACAACATAAGCGTAACATTTTTAGCACCAGACATTTTTAAGAGACACTTTAGCTACATGCTGTGCCATTTAAATTAACAAGATCATACTACTACTACTACTACTACTACTAGTCTGTAAATTCAAATGTCCTATGTATATTACATTTCAATGTCGCATACACAGAAAGGAACATTTACCCGTAATCTTACTGCTTTGCTGTGTTATCTATAACAAGGAACTGAGCAACCATAGTTGAACAGACTATCACTAATAATTTACTGAATTTATGTTGAAAATATCTATCTGTTTAAATTCCTTCAACTGTAATGTTTAAGGATTTTGTGGCAATTGGAAGACATTTGTTGAAGACAGGGCAAGGTATTTCTCAGTCACTTTTGGTAACAATTGACATCATTTGTAGTGAATATGTTGAGCTTGTGCTATCAAAAATATTATTTGCAGAACAGAAACTGGTTATGGATTAAAAGAGATGTCAGTAGATCACTAGCAGTATAGATTTGATTTGATTTGATTTGATTTGATTTATTATTACCTCAAGCAATCCATACAGGCAAGACAGTCACCACAGATATAGAAGCAGTCCATTTATATATATACTAAAATAAGATATAAAATGAAAAGTAAAATATAACAAATAGATAAAATATTATGATAAAAGCAGCTGTAACTCACAACTTTGTCAACATACATACAACAAATGAACAATTTTCGAGTCACAACAGTGATGTACAGATACAAAATATGCCCATATGTACATGTTATCACAATTACACCAATATGAATTTCATTCAGAATAAACCTTAACTATAGATTTATAGACAATTCCAGGTATTCATCTATTGAATAGAAAGATTCCCTTAAAAGGAAATTTTTAGTGACTAATCTAAATTTCTTAACATCAGTTGATAATTTTCTTATGTTCCATGGTAAATGATTAAATATTACAATACCCATATAATACACACCCTTTTGTACTTGGTCAGCTTTACAGATGGTAAGTGTAAGTAGCAACTCTGTCGTGTATTTATAGTATACATTTCAGTATTAACCCGTTGCCGTGGTTCGATGTGTATGTTTCGTCAGGGATTTAAATCGTCTGGGGGGGTTCGACGTGTATGTTTCGTCCAGCTGCACACCTATGTTATAACGCCCATAATAATTGATGGTTTTGCTGTAGATTGTTAGATTTTTCGCTGGCCTGTTGTCAGTGGAACAGAGTATAAATAAGACACGACTTTATCTGCGCCTAGTCATCGTTACATATGCCTGTCTTGCAGCAAAGTTCCTGTGGCTCTGGCGAGCGGTTCCTACGTCGTAGTCTTATGAAAGGCGTGTTTTCTTTGCTTTGAAGATATAAACAACAGAGACGTGATGTGTACTGTGTTTATCATATACTATTGCCCTGAGCTGGCCACTCTAACACACTCAATTGGAATTCTTAGAATAAAGGTTGTCCATAAGTTTATTCTCGCATGATCCATTGATTTCGCACAGTACAAAGGCCCAGTTCTTAGAAAAACGCCACAATTTAAGGCAGAACACTGTGGTCACCCCCTGAGACGATACGGATGTGTGTGGGGGAGGGAAAA